TTATGCTAATCGTCAAGTGAATTTAGGCCCCAGTTACACGATATCGGATTCGCATCGGAGCGACATCAAATTTTACTGCTTCGAGGTGAATTTGGCACTTAAAATTATGATAATATAACATAATTAAACAAAAACTTCATATATGAAAAGTTGTAATAGCATACAAGACTGGCAAACACCTTAAATCGCTCCGATACGAATCTGGTATTGTGTAACTGGGGCCTTAGTTCCCAAAGCAAACGAGTGAAGCAAGCTCACAAACAATTATGAATTACAAGGATTGTATGCAAATCCATTGTGCTTAGTGGTCGAGGGCTTTGACTTTGAGAGGACAACCTTAATAGACCTTTCCGGTAATTACGTCACGACTATAGGACCACCTTAAATGGAATGGATTTTAACTTTGTTTCTCACGTGCTATGGTCAGAGAAGCAGAACATCATTCTTCAACACATGCATAAAAAAGAATTTTGGATTTTGACCAATAAGTGTGGAAACAAGCTTAAACACGAAAACGAGGCTGAGGGGCCAAGAGGGGCCATGGCCCTTTTCTTGTTTAAGCTTATTTCCACATTTAATAGTTAAAATCCCAAATTCTTTTTTATGCATGTGTTCACGAATGATGTTCTGCTCCTCTGACCATAGCCCATGAGAAACAAACTTGAAATCTATTCCAGTTAAGGTGGTGCTAAGTTGAAAACAGTGTAGTTGTGACTTAATTACCGGAAAGGTCTATTGAATTAGCTGTATATGGAGGTCACTGGAACATCCGAAAGACGCAATGCTCTCAAGCATCTTATGAAACCCTCACCGCCAGTCGGAAAGAAACATCGCATTAAAATCAGCCTCAAGTACACTGTGAGTGTGCACCCAATTTTTTTTTGGCACCAGTTCGAAATGTGGGGTTTTTATTATCTTGTTATTACAAAGAGATATGTCAAAACAAAAGCGACTACTTCAAGTAACAAGAAAAAAATTAATTTCATGTTTTTTCCGGAGGATCTTAGTGTCATGCAAACTAAAACAAATTTGCATGGTGCAAAGGAGGGGCCATTAATATGTCTATATATTTAACTTTGGAACAAATGAAAAAAAAGGGTATATATTTAACGTTATCTAAAGTGCATTGCCATTCATTTGGGTATCTTGGTCACTATACCACTGGAATTAGTTGAAAAGAGTATGGAAATCCAATTTTTATACCAATTGTAATTTCCATACTATGCATGATATAGTATGGAAATAGCATAGATATACTATGGATTTTGCAATCGCAAGTTCCATAATATGATTTTTTTTCCAGTGTACAAGCATAAAAACCTCGCGGTTGTCAACAATTGGATGTGTTCGCCATGCTTGTTCCCAGTTGTCGACAAATCTAGAACAAGTTGTTAACATCTTGTAACAAGAGGCCACGCAATAAGTTGTTCCAACAAGTCAGTTGTTCCAACAAGTTTTATGTATATTTATAATATAGCATTTGTAAATTCTGAACCCTGCATGATTGGCTAAAAGCCGTGTTGATATAACTCGGAAACGTCGGAAAATTTCTTTCTTTATGTTTCTTTGTTTCCACTCGTATTGATATAACTGTATATCAACACGGAAAATGTTTTATATTTGTTAAATAAAGGCAAATTTAGGTTGCACTGTGTAAATAAAGCATAAAACTCAGCAACGACAATGTATAAGCCATATAAGATTAAGTACATGTCATGCACGGCAGGATGGGACTAACTAGATATCTAAGGATATAGGGAGAACAGTTTATAACTGATATTTAGAATGTAGTTTAGATACAAGCTGTAACAAAGTTAAGAATTTCAGCACATAGGTTACCTGGTCGATATAACAATATTTCCTACTGCGATAGAGTCAATCTCGTACACAGAGCCACTCAACGATGGCTCTGGGTACGAGATTGCGATAGAGTATGTAAACATTGCGATCTGAATGAAGTTGGGAATGAACAACATTACCTAATGACATGCACACTGATCCTCACCCCACCCCCACCCCACCCCACCTCAACCCTAACCCCCACTCCAACCCCTAACCTGGGGTGAGGGTCAAGAACTATTTGACAAAATTCAGTTAAATTTGTCCATAATTGTTATTTATACAAGATAAATTTCGCCGCCATATTGGATTTTTGTTGTTTTGATTTGCCGCTCCCCCCAGCCATCGCGAAAATCATTAATCGCATGCACTCCTGGACATGAAATAATTGCACTCCTCTTAACCAATCAGATTGCAGTAATTTTGTCATGTATATAATAAAGGCATAAATAATAAAAGGTCCATGACTATTATGCTCTCACCGAACAGTTTGGCTGGACTGCTTGGTTTCACAACTTGTGTTCGCATTGCATGCTTATTCCATAGGCAACCCAGCAAAATGTGTATTCACACGTAATGTGTACTATGAAAATACAGTGACGTAAATATCGGAATCTGCCTGTATAATGAGCTACACAAATAAATCGCTTGATAGCAAATTGAGACGAACTTTATACGTGCGAATACACGTTTTGCTGGGCTGCCTATGCTTATTCCCAGTTGGAACAAGTTATTTTCATCTTCTAAAAAGGTTGATGAGGCCAACAGACTCGGAACAAGTTGTTCCAACAAGTCTGATATCGTTTTCAAGTTGTTAACAAGTTGATGACAACAAGCTCGTAGTAACTTGTTATACCATAGTTAATAGAGGGGATGGTTTGGAAACTCATTAGCATTACAATAAACCTCACTACCTATGTTTTTGTTCAGGTTTATGCAAAAATGTGGTCTTTCATCGTCACGTGCGTATTGTATTTTTTTGCTCAACCAGCCAATAGCAACGGTTTTGTCCAATTGCTCATCCATGACTTTAACAATAGGACATTTTGAACATTCCTATTGGTTGACTTGAGAAAAATACAATACGCACGTGACGATGAAAGACCACATTTTTGCATAAACCTGAACAACATAGATAATGAGGTTTATTGTGATTTTATTGTAATGCTAACGAGCTTCCAAACCATCTCCTCTATTAACTATGGTTATACGAACAGCCTGTATCAGTCTTGCTGGAACAACTTGTAGCAATCGGACACAAGCAGTGCGAACACATCCTGATATCGGCTTGACAGCAACCTTGTTACAACCTTGTTACAACTCAGTTTTACGTGTATAAATGCATGTCTATCAGTGCATGTGTGTCTATTGCAACTCTTGAGTGCATGTTGTGTCTTTCGCCTCTTCGAATGAGGTTTTATATTGGTGCAATATGAAATTGTTACAAATTCACCTCAGTCAAATGTGAGAAAAGTGTTTCCTGTTTGAAGGGTATTGTAGATGGAAATTATCGAGTGGAAATTTACATACATTTATCAGACCTAACCAGAAACAGCTGCAAAAAATGCAACTATAGGTCCCGGGCAGGACTCGAACCAGCGATTCCGGTGCAGCGCTCTAACCAACTGAGCTACAGAGGCCAGTTGTCGAGCTCTAACCACAAGTTCATGTACACACACTAGGGTACTGGCATGTATAGGTTATGGGTAAATATTAAGATTTAGTATTAAGTAAAGGTAGCAAGCACTCTCGAAGGTAGCTATATAGCATGAACACATGCATAAAAAAGAATTTTGGATTTTGACCAATAAATGTGGAAATAAGCTTAAACACGAAAACGAGGCTGAGGGGCCAAGAAGGGCCATGGCCCTTTTCGTGTTTAAGCTTATTCCCACATTTAATAGTTAAAATCCCTAATTCTTTTTTATGCATGTGTTGACGAAGGATGTTCTGCTCCTCTGACCATTGCCCATGAGAAACAAACTTGAAATCTATTCCAGTTAAGGTGGTGCTAAGTTGAAAACAGTGTAGTTGTGATGTAGTTACCGGAAAGGTCTATTGAATTAGCTGTATATGGAGGTCACTGGAACATCCGAAAGACGCAATGCTCTCAAGCATCTTATGAAACCCTCACCGCCAGTCGGAAAGAGACATCGTATTAAGATCAGCCTCAAGTACACTGTGAGTGTGCATCCAATTTTTTTTTTGGCACCAATTCGAAATGTGGTTTTTTTGTTATCTTGTTATTACAAAGAGATATGTCAAAACAAAAGCGACTACTTCAAGTAACAAGAAAAAAATTAATTTCATGTTTTTCCGGAGGATCTTAGTGTCATGCAAACTAAAAAAATTTTGCATGGTGCAAAGGAGGGGCCATTAATATGTCTATATATTTAACTTTGGAACAAATAAAAAAAAAAGGGTATATATTTAACGTTATCTAAAGTGCATTGCCATTCATTTTAGTATCTTTGTCTGTTTGAAGGGTACTGTAGATGGAAATTATCGAGTGGAAATTTACATACATTTATTACACCTAACCAGAAACAGCCCTGCGATTCCGGTGCAGCGCTCTAACCAACTGAGCTACAGAGGCCAGTTGTCGAGCTCTAACCACAAGTTCATGTACACACACTAGGGTAGTGCCAGCATGTATAGGTTATGGGCAAATATTAAGATTTAGTATTAAGTGAAGATAGCTAGCACTCTCGAAGACGCCCAAATTTCCCCGCACTTACAGAGGATTTCCTGTTGAAACTATTGTTCGTTCGTGATATAAAAGACCTTGGTACCATTAAACTTACTAATGACGTTTTCACACGGTGATAATAAAGAAATGTGAAAATTGACAGGTCAGTTTATTCATAAATTTGACAAAAAAACATGTTTTGAAAGGAAATTAAAAGTATACTCTTGACTTTTGAGGGTTGAAAATACACTTGAACTGAAGTTTTAGGGCGGAAACCTCAAGATTATAACATTGCTGAACAATGTTAGTTCCAAAAAGTTCCTCCCTTAAGAAAGACTTTTATATCCGCTAGTTCGGGCTACCTAGTGCATAAAAGCACGAGAAAACAGGCTAGTTAACCAGTGGGAGTAAGCCATCACGATGAAGTGTTGGACAATCTTAGCTTTGCTGGTTGCAGTCTGTGCTGTTTTCCTTGGTGTTGGACACACCGAAGAAACTACAGATGATTTCAGAGAACCGGCTTTGGAAGATGCAGTGAATAATCATGAGGACGAATTGTAAGTTTCACCTTTTTTATTCAGTTTACTATCAAATGTTGTTTGTTGAAAAAATTGTTTGCATGCAAACATTTGAGATCAAAACTCAAGCTTTCAGTCGATTAAGTTTGTCATGTCTCATTAATTTAATGATTAATACGAATTGTAGCCATAGACCGATTCGAAAAATGGTTTTCGTTCTTTTTTCTCCCAATGTATAAGCACTGCCGCCTTATATAGAATTCTTCAAGATTTTACAAAATATAAATATAATACCATGTATTATCTTTGAGAAATTAAATCTTAAAAATACCGAAGTTTCTGCTAGATTTAACAAAGAAGACTGACTAGACTCGTTTTGGTGCTGGTGTATGAAATCCTTGGGCTGTTTATGAAACTCGTATTGTTTTTCGACTTCACATATATAGACCTGATTCGTTTGAAAATACTGAAAATGATAACGACGATGATGAAGACGACGGTGATGAAGAATCGGATCCCAAAACTTTAGTTGAAACGTAAGTGAAGTAAGATTTGTATTAACCTGAATTATGCCATAAGCCACAAAGCATAATATACCATATACCACAACGAACCACACCATATCACACTATACACTACACCACGCTATGCCATATACCACCACCATATCATACATTGCCGTACTATATACACCATAGCATACCACAACACCCCATACCATTCCACATCATATCATAACCATGTATAATATACCACACTAAACCGCACGATACACCATACCACACCACAGCTTAACACATGGCATACCATGCACACCTTACAAGAGTACAACATACCAACATCATTTCATAACATACCTTGTGAAACGCAATAATTCATGAAGAAAATACAAAAGAGATCATCAGCGTGAAGGAGTTTGTATATCTGATACAAAATATGCTAATTTACATAAACTTTAAGTTCAATTTTCTCACCAAATATCATTCATTTATTCTAAATTGTTGACGAATACGAACATTCTCATCGAGACGTTTCACAAGCCATTTACAACATTTACGTCTGTGTTGTATCAGACATACAACCTCTCGCCTTCGGCTCGAGTTTGTATACTGTATGTCTGTATCTGTACAACACTGTATATACAACATATTACATCATACTGTATATATTATACATATTACATCGTACGCATCACACAATAACTGAAACTGTACATTTACAATGCCATGCAACACCAAAAGAAACCCCGGCACAACAGTCAACATACCATATTTCTGTGCGTTATATACTGCATAATTCTACACCTATATGCATCTGCTATAACTAAGATCTGCTTGAAATGAACTGAATTTATCAATGCATATCTTCATTCTTTAATAATTCAGAGAGAACGTCTTGGAGAGCGTAAATGAGACACCATCAAATGATGACGATGAACCCGAAATGTTCAAACGTGCACCATGGAGGCGTCGTCGTCGTCGTCGTCGTCGTCGTCGCCGGCGTCGTAGATGGATCCGTGTCCGTGGGAGACGCATTGTGCGAAAAATATGCAAATATGGTCGTTACGTCCCTCATATCGGTAATGTGCATGAGATAAGCTAGGGGATACGGAGGCGATGCTTCCCACGTTGAATTCTACAATCCTGGGAAAACCATATGCGATACTTCCAATTATCTGACCAACTTTCGTAATATTATCCCAAATTTCAGTAGAAAAACTCCACTTTAGAGAAGTTTTAGAAGTACCCATTTTCGATTATCCCTGGCCTGTTCAGTTGCACGGAAAGCCAGAAAGATTTTTCAACTCGCAAAAATACGTACGGATAAATTTCACAATAAATTAGGCATCAACTTTAATTTGGGTTATACCACTGAATCAAGAGGCAATCTTATAGAAATTTTGAACAAAACACTATGTGATGGCAACATTATGAGAGTTGTCTAATATTTGTATTTCCAACGGACAACTTGCATGTTAGACTAAATTTTAATCTAAGTAAAGAGAAGGGCATCAAACACCACGGCTAAAAAGAACATAATGAAATTAGTAAAATTGCAAAATTTGGTTGTGAAATGTTGTAAAGCTTGGAGGATATAGCCTTGAAAAGTTTGCAAATTTTGTATATGTTTGTATTACGTGCGGAAATTGTTACCATTTTCAGCTTAAAAATGGTAGCAATTTCCGCACGTAATACAAACATATACAAAATTTGCAAACTTTGCAAGGCTATATTTTCCGTATTTTACAACATTTCGTTACCAAATATTGCAATTTTACAAATTTTAATAAGTTCTTTACGGGAATAAGGAATTTACTTTCTTTTGCCTAGATCAAAATTAGTTTAACATGCAAGTTGTCTATTGTTGTGGTTCATTTTCTTTCACATTATATAGGTTGGAAATGCCTTGTATTTGGGCTGGGAGATGAAGGTATAAAATTGTTTATCTTTTTTATAACAGTGTTAGAAAGAATATAGTTTAGAACTGATAAAGCTATTCTCTAGACGTCTGGTGATATAGGCCTACTCTGGGGTCGTAAATCGCCTAAATTCTGGCTTCAAAATTGGCGGATTGAATTCAAAATGATACTAGCTCTATCCAGGGTTGCTGATAATTAGCCCAAACACTGTCACACTGCGCCTTTGTTTTCTAAACGGAACTAAGGGACCGGTCATTATTTATGGCGAGGGGTGGCACCGAAGAGAAATGTTTTCCGTGTCAAAAATTTTGCTGACCCAACCATTAAAAAGACAAAAATTTGATTACCCAACCTCAAATATCAATTAAAAAATAAATACCCACCCCTGGCCAAAAACTTAACAAACGGATACCATTCAGTTGTCATACATGTCCTTTATCACTTCAGTGACATGAGTTTGATAACGGCTTGTGAAATTTTCTGCAGTCTAAAGTTTCATGTTGTCTGCACATGTACTTTCTTTGGAAACACAATTTGTTTTGTCAAACTATGATCAAGATAGTGACTCTGATTGATTCACATATTGTATTGACAAATGACTGTTGACATTGCTTTTCAGTCTCCAATATTTCAGTGGGTCATGCTTTGAAAATGACAATAAATTTTTATTACCCAACCCTTGAGTTGTTTTGTTTTTCATTTACCCAACCTTTTACTCACTCAAAATTTTGTTTACCCAACCTTTTTCTCTTCGGTGCCACCCCCCGCCATAAATAATGACCGGTCCCTAATGACGATTTGGCCTAATTATTCATCTAACTTACCAACCCTGACTCTATCCAGTCCTATAGTTGCGAGGTCAGTGATCTCTAGTCTAGGCAGAACAGTTTTGACGCGCAACTGATTGAGCAATCCATGCGTATGAACTAAGAGCAGACAAGTTACGCTCATCTCTTTCTCAAGCCCTCGGGGGAAGGGCTTATTTTTTCCAGGCATCTTTGGGAGGGAGCTTATTGGAGGGCGAGGGCTTAAAAGAGAGAGGGGGCTTACTAATTTATCAGTACAATTACATGCAAAAACAAATTGGTGCAAAGAAAACCAATATATATTCTAATCAAAAGACATTTGTTCTTGTACGAATAGTGAGGGGCTTAATACATTTCTTCATCTAACAAGGGGGGGGGGGATTATTTAGGGGGGGGGTAATTTAGGAGGTTATTTGCGAGAGGGCTTACTAGTGAGATTACGGTAGTTATTTGAGAAGTAAAAGTGATCGAAGATTATTTTTTTGACAGAATCTCCTAACGAGAAAGCTCCAGAAAATGATGCAAAATGGCTGGGTGAAGAATAACAGCACACTATTACACTAAACTAATGACATTTTTGAAGACAATAGTTAAATAAACCTATCTTGTTTGAACGCACCATTAAAACACTTGTGACTTTTTCATTAAACAAATAAAAATAACATTGAAATAATGAAGGTATTATTATTTTATGACCGTATCCACATTGCATGACAACGATGTGCCATAAATTATCTTCATGAGCGACTTCCAAGTTCCCCTACATTATATTATATAATACTATACTACATTATATTATAATTATTGCTATATGTTGTCCAGAAATAGCGTCACCAAGTTTAAAGTTAGATTTAAGACAATTAAATGATGAAGACAATTTGATTTTAACGTTAGGTCAACACATGTTTTTGAAAGACTCTACTGGCCCTGACGTTGCAGCATCATTCAATGGAATGGACCTTTCACCTTTTGACTAAAATTTAGATCTCAACAAGTCTAGACAAAAAATTTATCACAGCTTCAAAGAGCATCACAAAATTAGTAATATTCCAAAGTTTCGTTGCGAAATGTTGTAAAATGCGGATAATATAGCCTTGCGAAGTTTGCAATTTTCAGTCAAATTGTATTACGCGCGGGAAATACATACCTCCTTCGGAAAAAGGGTATGTATTTCCCGCGCGTAATACAATATGACTGAAAATTGCAAACTTCGCAAGACTATATTATCCGCATTTTACAACATTTCGCAACGAAACTTTGGAATATTACTAATTTTTTTATGCTCATTCAAGTTGTGATAAAATTATTGTCTAGACTTGTTGAGATCTAAATTTTAGTCAAAAGGTGAAAGGTCCATTAAGTGCTCGGCCAGAAACTGTATCAATATTATGCATACAGTCCCCTCTTAATTTGGGTACGACAATTCCCCTCCAATTAAGATTCTTTAACACTTGCCTCGGCGCATGAAGCACGCACACACAGGCAAACTAAGCAGAAAGAATCGAGTCAGAAATTGCCATGAAGAGTTGGACAGTTCTAGCCTTGCTGCGGTTGCAATCTGTGCTGTGTTTCTTGGTGTTGGACACACTGAAGAAACTGAAGATGATTTCAGAGAAGTAGCTTTGGGAGATGCAGTGAATGACGAAAAATTGTGAGCTCTAAAGCCGGTTTTCCACTTCGCCCGTACCGTACCGAAACGTACTGGTGAGCATGCGCAGATTGAAAAGAGGTTTATTCGCGTATCAAAATGAAAAGTTCGTCACAAATCAACTTTTTTGCGTACTACAGAAGTACTAACCAATCAACATTCACGAAATTTTGAAATTTAAAAACGTTTTTGATATGTTTCGGTACGGTACGGTACGGTACGGTACGGTTGTAGTGGAAAACCGGCTTAACTTTTCACTCGGTTTACTGAAAATAACTGAATTTATCAATGTATATCTTCATTCTTTAATTCAGAGAGAACGCCTTGTTGGACAGTTTGAAATGAGACACCATCAAATGATGAAGATGAATTCAGTGGCCGTCATAAACGCGGTTTAATTCGTCGTCGTCGTCATTAATAGTTAACAAAAATTTGTTTCATTAAAGAAATAAAAATAACCTTCAAATAACGAAGTTATTATTATTTTCATGACCATATCCAAAAATGTGTGGATATTATTATGGGTAGTTATTATGGGTATTATTTAGTATCTGGAAGTTTATAAAGTTCGATTTAAGACAATGAATAATTCCACGCTCTCGAATAAATTGATTTAGGCAAGAAGAACAAAATCCATCACCACAGGCAGAAAGAGGATGTTAAAATGAGTAAAATTGCAAAGTTTGGCCGCGAAATATTGTAAAATTCGGAAAATATAGCCCTACGAAATTTGCAAATTTTGTGTCAATTTGTATTACGCGCGGGAAAATGCAACACATTTGGGCCGAAAGTGGTGCATCACAGGATCGCTCAATAGAACTGGTTGCCTTTAAACTAAGTGCGACGAGCAAGCTCCACAAAATGATGAGAAATGGTCGCGTAAAGAAAAATTGTAAGCCACCTTTATTTTATTCTATTCAATTTATACCGTATCCAAATAGTGGGGTTTGTTTTGATTGTTAATAGTAATTAATATAAGTACATGCAAATTTTTTTTAACTAAACGAAGTGATACCACCACTACCATCTACATGTAGCACACAATCCCAAACACACAACCACATATGATACCATACCGCACAATATCTAGTCCGCGATAGCAGACTCCAAGGGGGTCGGCTGAGATCAGTCTGCAGACTACACAGTATCATGCCACATACACCTTTCTGTACAAAACAATAAGCCGTTACATGATACGACACACCACGCCAATGACACCATATTATCCCATCCTATACCACACCATCCCTAACCAGCTTTCCCATTAGTTCATATGCTCAATATAAATTGTTTCAATTCAGAGAGAATGCTGTGAACAATGAAAATGACGAGACTGCATTGAACGACGAAGATAAAAGACTCGTGTCAAGATATCTTAGGACATATCCTGGCCACCGCCGTCGACGTTGATCATCAAACGATGAAGACGGAACAGCCTTTTCCAAGCTTGGAGGGTCTTAAACGTGTTATAGACAACATGTAGACATGCATAGCTAGTTTGGCATGTTAGAACGGCAATGACGTGAGAATTTATTTTGAGTTTCTTTGGATGTGAAATAGTATTTGCCTTTCTTTTAAATTAAACAAGTTGTAAGAGATTATTTGCCTCTGAATAAACTTGTCTTTATTTTAAACATGTCATAAAGTTATGGTGAGTTTGGAAAGCTATGGAACGGCAAAGCTCGAGCAATACTTGGAGAGAGTCTTCACTGAAAAAGTCGAAGCTCTCCTTGTATTTTACTGGTAGTTGCATCCCTATCGATCGAACTTTTGTTACAAATTAAATGTGCCAACAGTAGGTTATAGGGAAATTAGGCTATATACTGTATATTATAGTCACAGAATATAGCCTACATAGAAGCCCATCTCCATTGTTTTTTGCGTAAGCGCTATTCGTCATGATCATAGATATCTTATATACACTAGATAGTGCATCTAATTATTCTGCAATTCAAAAATTGAAGCCGTGATTGCAGACTCGTATGTTTTCTATTTCTTAAACAGGGAACTTAAACATTAAGTTAAACCTATTCCAAATACATTTTCAAACTATTCAAATGATGAAAGTTATTGTTGTTTTTTAAGCGTTTATTAGCGAGTGGGAAACTCCAACATGGCCGCCATCTATTCAAATGGGGGGTAACCGCTGGAATATTCTTGGCTTCAATTTTACTAAAAGAGATACGCTATCTAGTGTATATAAGATATATATGGTCATGATTCGTCACTCAGCAAGTACCCTAATCAGACGTAGTCACCCCCTGGAAATATCCCAAATGGCGCTGTGTGGGAGAAAGTCATGGATATTTCCAGGGGGGTGACTACTCGGGTAGCTACTTAGGGTAGCTACTTGCTCAGTGACGAATCATGGCGAATAGCGCTTTCGCAAAAAACAATGGAGATGGCCTTCTGTGTAGTATTCTGTGCTACAGTGCGCGGGCTATAGTATATTCGTGGTAGCTTGGCATTTACAAAACTATGTAACACGCGCAATATAAACTTTAAAATTAAATTAATACTCTCAGTTATATACATGCCAAATTCATCCGCTATTTATCCGGACACAGAAACTCTGAACAGACCCTTCCAAGGTTGACGACGCCATAATGAAACACAATAGTGCGAGGGGTACAAACAGATGGAATTCCCTTTAGGTAAATTTGCAGGCGGTGCAAACACAATGGTGAAAACAATAGATTCAAGATGGCGTCCTTAACCACAGAATAATGATCCATACAGACACAGAGTAGATACATATACAGAGCTGCAACTAGTATACCCACTTTTTTTTGTGCGCATGCTCGGCAAGTTAGATGCATGCATCTGATTGGATGACGACTCACTTTAACTGCTCGCGGAACTTGCCGAGCACGCGCAGTTGATCATTTTTTGCCCGGTCGCCTGAAAAAAAGTGGGTACATGAAAACGTAAGCTTCCGCAGTGTTTACAATGGTCAGTCACAGCTCTGTATATGTATTTACTCTGTGATACAGAAGGGCCACTTACGTCAGGAGCTTTGAAGTTTCTGACCTCGCGCATGTCGCATTACGCATGTTGGCTGCCATTTTCCTAGCCAGTCAATGACATTTTCTGGCCAAAAAACACGCTGTACTGGTTGGCTGCTCCGCCTTCTGGCCAGTAAACTGCATATTTTTGAATAAAAAAATGAGGACACGTTGCACCGCTGAGTGGCCCTTCTGTTACTGATCTTTATTCTGTGTCCTTAACCTTGCATGGAAGGGCCTATTCGGCTTATATAGACTATATTTCGTTTTGTCTGGTATATTAAACCAGCTTTTATAACGAAATTTACACGCGCATGTATCAGGTCGTTGCGTCAACGAATCTTGGACAAGCAAAACAAGTCAAGTGAAGGAAAACGTACATATAATGAATGTTTGCATGTAGCTGTTGATTTTTTTTTATAGATGGCTGTTTCGTTGCAAGTGTAGCCTGCGTTGCAGGCCCTCAATTTTATGGGGGGCCTGATTTGCAGCGGGCAGGATTTTGGCGAGCACGGAATTGCAAGTGAAGACCCATTGTCTGGGTCTTTGTTTTTCGAATTTTTTTATCGAAGATCTTTTTCATTATGGCTATACAACTGAAAACAGTTTACTATTGACAGAATTTGAACACTGCCTACACCGGAACACTGTATATTTGCGATTCAAAAGATGCTTCGAGAATTCCTGTCTGCATGAAAAAAGAGTTTTTTGAAGAGAAGGTTTTCAAATTGCGTTTACAAAGTGAAGGACTACTTGAAAACACTTACCAAATCGGTTCCTGGTGAATTTCTGTTTTTCAAAACACATCCTCAAACCTTTGAAAGAAAGCCAAAACATAAGTACATTTAACAGTTATTCTACGAACTCGAGTCGAATATGAGCTGATAGCGGAAAAACCTGGTCACACTGGATATATCTCGAATTTGACAAATTTGACTAACACCGTTTGATTATACCCAATTCACAACGATGTAAACAACGTTACTCGTTAGCCAAATCAATCGCTGCTGGACCGATGCTAATGGCGGGGAAATTTCGCTAGTTTCATTATAGTATGTTTCACTTGTTTATTTATAAGGGTAAAATGTAGGCCTAATATAAGCATGGCAAGTCGTGTTACAAATCAGATATATATCGAACATACAAACTTCATAACATTTAGATGTAATATACAGGGTGTCCCCCCAAAAAACACAAAACCATTGAAATAACGTATTGTTAAAATTTGAATGCCCTAGCACTAAGCGGAACGCAAAGATGCGTAAAATTATGACAAGGGTGCATATATTAAATATTGACTTGTTAAGAAATTAAAATATCTTTGTGAAGCGCACGATTTTCTGCTCTTGGGAATTTAAAACAGCTTCTTAAGCCCGTTCTCCACTAGGCGAATTTATTCGCGCGAACAGATAAAAAGTAGGAAGCGATCCTACTTTTTCGCCGCGAATTTTTTCGCCGACCAATCACGTTGCCGGATTTCAGTTTTCGCTTCGCGTCGCGCGAACAAATTCGCGTAGTGGAGAACGGGCTTTACGGTTTTGTAATGGAAGTTACACTTCTGTATGTCTTTATTCTGTGGTTGAGGCATCCAACCACGCCATCAATCCCAGTAAAAACATTAGGTCACGTCAGCTAGTTTCCTATCCATTTATTTTATTATCCATGGTCTCGTTGAGGAGTGTGTAGAAAGAATTACGAATTTGCCATCTTCGCTATTTCTTCAAGCGGCATCTATAGACGTCATAGTTACGTGTGACGTCATCATTTCCTCACAGTCACTTTATGATATGCTCCTTTCTCAAAGTTCGTATCAATTTGCCAGAATTAGTAATCCATTTTTCAATCGTGTTCAACCTTGTATAATTTATTAATCATACTCGAATACGTTTGGATGGGTAAAATTATTTTAAAACCATTTCCCATAAAGTTTCTTCTATGGCTTTGAAATTGAAACTATAGTATCATTAAATATATTATATTATCTTAATTAAATCGGACGGTGTAAAAAATCAGAAAATCTCAAATAATTTTGTCACCCATCTTTAGCACTTGCTATTTGACATTTGTACTTTTGTGTTTGGCCCATTTGTGTGTTTTCTTGATGATATTATCCAATATAAAAGCCCACTTGAGCGGATGTGACATCACATGAAACCCAAGAATTGCATGGATCGATCTACAATCATTGACAGCATGTTCTGGCAATTAATATTTGAAAAACATTGTGAAAAATTCAAAGATTCCAAATTAAAATTCAGAAATAGCCAAATATACCCCCTCCCCCTAAGCAATGTTGCCTTATGACATCCTGTTTTCATTGAGAGAACCTATTACGCTGTCTAAAGGTCCATACACACCGGACGCGATTCGACAACGCGACGCGATTTTTCGATTTTCACTGAACGATAACTTTGATCCTAGTTTAAATTTTCCAAATATTTAGAAGCGTTAGAATATTTTGAGTTATTTGGTCTACATATCTTTTAAAATTTGCTCTCATTGGCTGTTTTATTAACTTTCAAAAACTAAAAAATCGCGTCGTGTTGTCGAATCGCGTCCGGTGTGTCTGGAGGTTAAAGCTCGGTTTACACTTGGAATTTTTTGCTGCGATTTGATGTGTGATTTTCTTCTGATGGATGTGAACACTGGTGGATGATTTACGAAATGTTTAGATGAGGGTACTTATACTCAGAATATTCATAACCTATCTCCTCGTTCACATACATCGGCAGAAGAAAGTCGCACCATAAATCCGCAGCAAAAATTACAAGTCCCTAATAGTCTATCTCTGCTACCATAACTCAACATTGTTAAAAGAGGGCGCGGGGGTTAAGAAGGTGCCAGATGCCCAACGATTGTACATTCGTGATACGTGAAGATATTTACCTTGCTACTTCACAAGTAAGAACATGTTGTTGACGTCCTGTTTGTTGTGTTTGGCAAATGTTGTAAAATGAAGTAAAATACCAAAACCCCCAGATTTGTAACTAGACTTTGTTAAAATTATACAAGGAGGTGTTGAACAAAAATATTTACATGTAATTATTCGAGGATTCGTTATATATGGCTTGCGTAAGTCTTTGTTAATACTGAGAACATGCATTTCCATATATTTCCCTCCGCTCTAATTCCAGGTCAGAATTAAGCAAGAGATCTACTAGACTTCCAACCCCACCACTGAATATTTCATTGATTAGAATATTTATAAGCAACATTTTGCCCAGTATATAGAACTTGATACCTGTTTGTTTCAAAATTCCAGATGCTCCCTTGGAGTGGAATAATTGACAAGCATTTGAAAGGTTAAAACGTGTATATCTACATACATTGTAAGTCTGACCTTTCATGGCCTCATCATAGTTAATATAAATCGTCCACACCATGCATACACTATGAAATTGAAATATTAAGTTAATCAAGTGACCCATGTCCTTCTTCTTCGTCTTGGTTGTCAAGCTGAAAAAATACATTCAATGAAACCGTTTTAATTATTACTATGTTTAATATTGCTGCCTGGGTTAGCCGTAACCGACCCGTAAATGGTTTCAATCTCGCTCGTTAGAGTTCGACAACTGAGCTCTGTGGCTCAGTTGATTAGAGTTGGACAACTGACCTCTGGCTCAGTTGGTTAGAGTTGGACAACTGTCTCTCTGTGGCTCAGTTGGTTAGAGTTGGACAACTGTCTCTCTGTGGCTCAATTGGTTAGAGCTCGACAACTGTCTCTCTGTGGCTCAGTTGGTTAGAGTTGGACAACTGTCTCTCTGTGGCTCAGTTGGTTAGAGTTGGACAACTGTCTCTCTGTGGCTCAGTTGGTTAGAGTTGGACAACTGTCTCTCTGTGGCTCAATTGGTTAGAGCTCGACAACTGTCTCTCTGTGGCTCAGTTGGTTAGAGTTGGACAACTGTCTCTCTGTGGCTCAATTGGTTAGAGCTCGACAACTGTCTCTCTGTGGCTCAGTTGGTTAGAGTTGGACAACTGTCTCTCTGTGGCTCAATTGGTTAGAGCTCGACAACTGTCTCTCTGTGGCTCAGTTGGTTAGAGTTGGACAACTGTCTCTCTGTGGCTCAGTTGGTTAGAGCTCGACAACTGTCTCTCTGTGGCTCAGTTGGTTAGAGTTGGACAACTGTCTCTCTGTGGCTCAGTTGGTTAGAGTTGGACAACTGTCTCTCTGTGGCTCAGTTGGTTAGAGCTCGACAACTGTCTCTCTGTGGCTCAGTTGGTTAGAGTTCGACAACTGTCTCTCTGTGGCTCAGTTGGTTAGAGTTGGACAACTGTCTCTCTGTGGCTCAGTTGGTTAGAGTTGGACAACTGTCTCTCTGTGGCTCAATTGGTTAGAGCTCGACAACTGTCTCTCTGTGGCTCAGTTGGTTAGAGTTGGACAACTGTCTCTCTGTGGCTCAATTGGTTAGAGCTCGACAACTGTCTCTCTGTGGCTCAGTTGGTTAGAGTTGGACAACTGTCTCTCTGTGGCTCAGTTGGTTAGAGCTCGACAACTGTCTCTCTGTGGCTCAGTTGGTTAGAGTTGGACAACTGTCTCTCTGTGGCTCAGTTGGTTAGAGTTGGACAACTGTCTCTCTGTGGCTCAGTTGGTTAGAGCTCGACAACTGTTTCTCTGTGGCTCAGTTGGTTAGAGTTGGACAACTGTCTCTCTGTGGCTCAGTTGGTTAGAGTTGGACAACTGTCTCTCTGTGGCTCAGTTGGTTAGAGTTGGACAACTGTCTCTCTGTGGCTCAGTTGGTTAGAGTTGGACAACTGTCTCTCTGTGGCTCAGTTGGTTAGAGCTCGACAACTGTCTCTCTGTAGCTCAGTTGGTTAGAGCTCGACAACTGTCTCTCTGTAGCTCAGTTGGTTAGAGCTCGACAACTGTCTCTCTGCAGCTCAGTTGGTTAGAGCTTGACAACTGTCTCTCTGTAGCTCAGTTGGTTAGAGCTTGACAACTGTCTCTCTGTAGCTCAGTTGGTTAGAGCTCGACAACTGTCTCTCTGTAGCTCAGTTGGTTAGAGCTCGACAACTGTCTCTCTGTAGCTCAGTTGGTTAGAGCTCGACAACTGTCTCTCTGTAGCTCAGTTGGTTAGAGCTCGACAACTGTCTCTCTGTAGCTCAGTTGGTTAGAGCTCGACAACTGTCTCTCTGTAGCTCAGTTGGTTAGAGCTCGACAACTGTCTCTCTGTAGCTCAGTTGGTTAGAGCTCGACAACTGTCTCTCTGTAGCTCAGTTGGTTAGAGCTCGACAACTGTCTCTCTGTAGCTCAGTTGGTTAGAGCTCGACAACTGTCTCTCTGTAGCTCAGTTGGTTAGAGCTCGACAACTGTCTCTCTGTAGCTCAGTTGGTTAGAGCTCGACAACTGTCTCTCTGTAGCTCAGTTGGTTAGAGCTCGACAACTGTCTCTCTGTAGCTCAGTTGGTTAGAGCTCGACAACTGTCTCTCTGTAGCTCAGTTGGTTAGAGCTCGACAACTGTCTCTCTGTAGCTCAGTTGGTTAGAGCTCGACAACTGTCTCTCTGTAGCTCAGTTGGTTAGGGCTCGACAACTGTCTCTCTGTAGCTCAGTTGGTTAGAGCTCGACAACTGTCTCTCTGTAGCTCAGTTGGTTAGAGCTCGACAACTGTCTCTCTGTAGCTCAGTTGGTTAGAGCTCGACAACTGTCTCTCTGTAGCTCAGTTGGTTAGAGCTCGACAACTGTCTCTCTGTAGCTCAGTTGGTTAGAGCTCGACAACTGTCTCTCTGTAGCTCAGTTGGTTAGAGCTCGACAACTGTCTCTCTGTAGCTCAGTTGGTTAGAGCTCGACAACTGTCTCTCTGTAGCTCAGTTGGTTAGAGCTCGACAACTGTCTCTCTGTAGCTCAGTTGGTTAGAGCTCGACAACTGTCTCTCTGTAGCTCAGTTGGTTAGAGCTCGACAACTGTCTCTCTGTAGCTCAGTTGGTTAGAGCTCGACAACTGTCTCTCTGTAGCTCAGTTGGTTAGAGCTCGACAACTGTCTCTCTGTAGTTCAGTTGGTTAGAGCTCAACAACCGTCTCTCTGTAGCTCAGTTGGTTAGATCTCAACAACCGTCTCTCTGTAGCTCAGTTGGTTAGAGCTCGACAACTGTCTCTCTGTAGCTCAGTTGGTTAGAGCTCGACAACTGTCTCTCTGTAGCTCAGTTGGTTAGATCTCGACAACTGTCTCTCTGTAGCTCAGTTGGTTAGATCTCGACAACTGTCTCTCTGTAGCTCAGTTGGTTAGAGCTCGTCAACTGTCTCTCTGTAGCTCAGTTGGTTAGAGCTCGACAGCTGTCTCTCTGTAGCTCAGTTGGTTAGAGCTCGACAACTGTCTCTCTGTAGCTCAGTTGGTTAGAGCTCGACAACTGTCTCTCTGTAGCTCAGTTGGTTAGAGCTCAACAACTGTCTCTCTGTAGCTCAGTTGGTTAGAGCTCAACAACTGTCTCTCTGTAGCTCAGTTGGTTAGAGCTCAACAACTGTCTCTCTGTAGCTCAGTTGGTTAGAGCTCGACAACTGTCTCTCTGTAGCTCAGTTGGTTAGAGCTCGACAACTGTCTCTCTGTAGCTCAGTTGGTTAGAGCTCGACAACTGTCTCTCTGTAGCTCAGTTGGTTAGAGCGCTGCACCGGAATTGCAGGACCACAGGTTTGATTCCTGCCAGAGGGCCGATAGTTGCATTTTTCGAAACTGCTCCTGGTTAGGTGTAATAAATGTATAAAATTTCCCCCCGAAAATTCCATCTAAAACCCCCTCAAACATATAGTCACATCAAGTATGAGATGCCCAAAACAGGGTTTAAAAGAAATAATGTTGAACTGTGTGTGCCAGTGTAGGTAGTGCCAATAATATTAACAAGCTTTCGTTGGTAGGGATGAAACTACCTGAAGGAGAATTTTTTTCTCAATTTTTATTACGTTTCTCAATTTTTATGAGAAATCTATTTCGAATATTTTTCAGCTTACAGAATATTTTTCTCCTTATATTTTTCAGGCAAAGTTGCATCCCTATCAACGAAAGCTTGTTCATATTTAAAAGAAATAATTTGAATTTAGATATCTTTGTAGGCTGTTTGGTGCGTGTGCCCTTTTTGTAACGGAGGTTTATTTCAGCCTCTGAGAAGCCGGACATGAAGTGAATACGCAGAAAATACCCCACCGTGTACAAAAACTGCAGCAAAAACAACAGTCTTATTAAAACCAAAAAAACTCAAAAAACTTTTCAAAAATTCTTATATGAAAATCGTATGATGAAATAAAACAACGTAATTAAATTAAATAAGTCATCACAAAATGAAATTTCGAAATATTCACTAAAAAGTAGTTAGTTTCGTCCATGGCTCTTTCATATGCATTATGCTGGGCACTTTCACCATACAGATAGTGATTCCCGCCATGTTCAAGGCTACCAGATTCATGGCTACCAGAATGCGTAACGCGATTATTTATGTCAAGACATAAATATTACATACATATTTATATTAAAACATATAAATTCATTGTATAGAAGTCACCGGCTGGCGCAGTGAAAATGCCGGTGACTGCATGATATACATAGTTCTTTTTTATGTGTCTTCACCACCACCTCCCCCCCCCACCACCACCACCAAACCCCCTTCGAAATCAGCCTATACTGAAGGGATCAGCGTGGGTAAACATAGTTTTAACAAAATAAATAATTCTCTGTAAAAAAACTACAATTTAGAAAAACATTTTCAACATTTCTAGAAATATTTCTTACTTTTTCTTTCTGTTGGTTTCCTCTTCAGAGGATGACGAACTCTCTAAAAAAATAAAACATTTCAGTATAAGCGACAATGACATTGTGTCAAACTTTCATAAACTGTATCATGAAGTACCTTCACTTGAATCAGTACCACTAGACTCGCTGGAACTACTGTTGTCTGAGCTTGAAGAGTCGACCTGTGCTTGAGTAACCGTCTTCTTGGGGGCGTTCTTCAAGTGCTCACGTAGATCGTCTCTGAAATTAAATAACTCCAATAAATATATAAACAAGTCTTTCTGCAATTACTCCAAGATAGTACATATAAGAGCAAAACCTCTCTAATACAGACACATCTCTCTAATACAGACACATCTCTCCAATACAGGCACATCTCTAATACAGGCGCATCTCTCCAATACAGGCACATCTCTCCAATACAGGCACATCTCTCTAATACAGACACCTCTCTCTCTGATACAGACACATATCTCTAATACAGATACATCTCTCTAATACAGACACATCTCTTTAATACAGACACATATCTCCAATACAAACAACTTCTCTAGTACAGACACCTGTATCTAATAAAAGCACATCTCTCTAATACAGACACATCTCTCTAATACAGACACATCTCTCTAATACAGACACATATCTCCAATACAAACAACTTCTCTAGTACAGACACCTCTATCTAATAATCTAACATCCCTCTAATAAATATGCCTCCAATACGGGTAGGTCTTTAAATACGCCTCTCCAAGTTAGTCTAGTTTATGTCTGTGGTAACATACTGCACATCAAGAACTACCCGGTATATATTTAGTGTACTTCAAAATACAAATCTAGACAATACATACGTGAGACCTCCAAGACCGATGGCGGTGAAAAAGTTGACAGCAAAACGCGTGTTTCGTGGATTATCTCGCGGGAACAGACCTTCAAAATACATCTGTAATGTCCTAGAAATACATCGAGATCTCATGTCACAAAAACCGCTTGATATACAATATCTTTATATATACAGATCAAAACTTACTGATCTTTTAGTCTTTCATTCAATTTCGATAGTCCCATGTACTCAGCTAGCTCTTGGAATAAAATCTTGATGAATATGCGGCTACAAAAGAACAAACATGTTGAATGCAGGGACAGATCTACCGTGGGGAAGCAGGGGGGTGCGCACCCTACCTAGTGATGTCTACCCCCCCCCCCCAGGGAAGTCCAGCACCACCCTAAAAAAATCTACTTGACCATACATTTTCTGCTTTTTGAATAGCGATTAGCAGAACTTCTACTGTTAGCATACATGTCGATTTCTTGAAACGATTTAATTGATTTGTGAGCTCACGAGAAAATACACAGAAGGCTTTAGTTAAATATCATGTTTAAATATGTAAACCTGTGTCGAGGTTGTTATACAGGGATATTTTCAATTATACTGTGCTTTAACAAGCAAATTTACTTTACTGTGCTACAGCAACTGTCCAGTCACGCACATGTGATAAAAAGCGGATATAAACTTTATAAACAAAGGATAATAACAGAACGACGAACAGGCCAATTCGGGCATCTCAAATAATGGTAACAGACTGCAGAGGAGAGTGGGCAGTAAGGCTTCCTCAATCCTCATGCACCACCTCATGGAAAACCTGCACCCCCAGATGAGGCTAGATTCCCCCATGGAACTTTTTTGAAGAAGGAAATCTCGAGTGTAAATTTTTAGTGGTAATTATATACATTTTATAGTTCGAGTGAGCCGCAGGTTGGATTCCTGGCAGAGGACCTATAGTTGCATTTTTTGCAACTGTTCCTGGTTAGGTCTAATAAATGTATAAAAATTTCACTGGAAATTTCCAATTTCAGAAAAGTTTTCAAAAGTTGTATCGAGTGAGTCGCCCAAAATCCTCGTACGTCTCTCATGGTAAACGAAATTTCAAGATGGCAAAACGAGAATTTGATTGAACAATGTCTGCTCATGCAGACCGAGGTTCCCTTTAGTTAAAACCGACATCAGTAAAACTAAGATATCCCAAGTCTTTTCAATTCCTTAGCTGGTGATCTAAAAACTATTAATGATTATACGCTTTCATCAAGGGAAATGGCAATATATTTTTTTATTTTCTCGCTTGAAAGAACATTGAAAACCATATATAAAACTCTTTTACCGTTTTTTCATATCTTTCTTACTTCTACAAATATTTTAATCGAAAGGAATGAAATGCCCGCCATCTTGGATTTTGTAGATATGCATGTTACGTCACAACAGGGGTCACGCAATATTTTTATCTAAACAACCACTAATCATTTTGCACTCAAAATTATACTCTGTCTGCCCTTCCAAATATCAAGATCACTTGAAACCTTTAAAACATCTACCAATCAATATTTGGTCAGCAACAACGAATACTTTTATATGGTTAATCCCTGTTGTGACGTCACCAAAACTACCGTTAATGAGATCAAAAAATTATCTAAGATGGCTGACATCTCGTTACTTCAAGTGAAAATATTTCAAGAATTAAGCAAGATATGAAGAATCGGTAAAGGAAGTTACTAAATAGTTTCAAAAGTTCTTTCAAACGAGAGAATAAAAAATATATTGCCATTTCCCTTTAAAGAGTTCTTTCTCCAATTAAACCACAAAGTACAAGATATGGATGAATTTCCCTGCGCTATATACAAACATGTTGTGTTTTGTCAATGCTTTGGTAACAGGTCATAAAACATGTACAATCATATTACATTATTGCGTTATTATTCAACTCACTCAACTTTGGGGCCATTCAGTGACCGATTACATGAAGTACTATACGCTTACTTATCTTACTATTGTGATTACGTTCTCAACTGTGTTTATCCTAACCCACCCTGTCAACTTTCCCTGTGGGAGGAAACCGGAGCACCCGGAAAAAACCCACGACTTTCGGTAGAGGGTTGACGGACTCTTTTCACATGAGTCCATAGCGAGAATCGAACACACGATCTCAGACGTGAAAGGCGCTTGCTCTGACAACTGCGCCACCGAAGCCCCATATATAGGACGGAAGATATATCAGTATCAGGACCGCCGTGAGGTTGGCGGGGGCCCGCCGACAACTTTTTAGGTAAAAAAATTTTCCGGTCGAGTACATTGCAATTGCATTCCAGGGACTTTATCTCAATTTTTCATGCCAAATTTCGGTACTTAGCCCAAAAAAACAGATATCTTGTCCTTTGCGCGGAAATATAAACAAAAAAGACTGGGGCCCAACAAAAAATTTTCAGGGGGCCCCAGCACCTCGGGGCCCGGGGCAATTTGCCCCTCCCCCTCTCGGCGGCCCTGATCAATATGACCAGCAGTTTTTACCAAATTTGCATTCAAATTTTACTAAATCTAGAAAAATTTTACCAAATAGTGAATTTTCCCTCCACACCCCCTCCCCCCTGTGTAAAGTTTGAGCAAACGTTTTTTTCAACATATTTTCATATCTTCATGAGGGACATAGTTAACAGTTATTCTACGAACTCGAGTCGAATATGAGCTGATAGCCGATGAGGCGCGTAGCGCCGAATCAGCTATCGCTCATATTCGACGAGAGTGAGTGGAATAACTGTTTTATTATATACACAAGGTCTGAATTCACAGACTTTGCTTTTCGAATATTTTCAACATTTTTCTATTTTGTTTATGTTTTTATCTTCGCTCTTTCGGCCGATTATTTTTTCAAAAATATATATTTTTAACCATTTTACATGTTAAAAATTTATTTGCTAACCTGAAAACAATTTGTGTGAGTTTTTTCATTGTGTTTTTAATCCTGTGAAAGCTATAAAAAGCGACAACTTGCCGTTTTCTCGTTTGCAAAACATCGTAAATTCAGTTTGGCCGCCATTTTGTTTTTCTCTACTAGCAGGATATGAGCTAATATCCTGCTAGTAGAGAACCAATCAGATTGCAGAATACCTCATATCCAGACCTTGTGTATATAATAAAGACGAATATACCTTCGTAACTAACGTGAATATTATTTTCTCCCTCTTTAAATAAAGTATTAAAGTGCCTATATTACTTGTGGGACCTTTATGGATTTGAAAAGAGCGTAAAAATTAGTTAATAAGTTCAAAAGATTTTTTTGATTTAGTGCCATAGTTTTGAGGATATAGGCCTTTAAACAACGGACTGTTCCTGAGTCCCAGCCTCCTGGGGTATAAACACGGCTATTGAATTTGGCTTTTTTCCAAACTGTCCATTGTGCATAGGAGCCTGGGACTCAGGAACTGTACGTAGGTTAGAGGCCTGTATCTTCGAAATTATTGCACTAAATCAAAAAAATCTTTTGAACTTATTAACTAACTTTTTACGCCCTTTTCAAATCCATAAAGGTCCCACCCCACAAGTGATATAGGCACTTTAACTAACCTTGACGATGTCGTTTCTTCTTCGTTCAAATTAACATCAGCGAGGACCTAAGTACGAAACAAAACAAAAGTAAATAAAATCCCGTTGAGTACATAATAGAAAGTTGAAGGGTCTTGTATAGATGGAAATTATCGAGTGGAAATTTATATACATTTATTATAGAGCGCTGCACCGGCATCACAGGGGCCATAGGTTTTTTTTTTTTTAGATGGTCTAATATACTCTTTGCAGTTACAGACAACTGAATTAACGAGTTATTTACATAACATTATCCAGGTGATCTGACGGTGAGCAAAAGGAATAGGACTAGCAACAGAATAAAAATCCAGTTTCGCAACGTTAATCACTTGTCACACCCCGATTCTTTTGTGGAACTGTTTGAAACTTTGTGTGTCTGTGTCTTGCACAGGGAAATGAATGTCTCGGACAAATTTGAAATAGAAATCTAAAACCACGGGCAATAGGACAGGTGTAGTGTTGTTAAATAGAAAGTTCGAAATGGTATTGTACTTACTCATGTATTATAATTATGTTTAAAAGATCAGAGTATTCATAACTTCTTATTTTGTTTCATAAATAGTTCTTTAATATTCGAAACAAATTCCATATCTGCTTCGTCTGCCATCGCCATGTTTACTCGTCCCAATCTACATGCTGCACGGCATTGCCGCCCCTCCTGGCAAAATAATAAGCAAGCGAGAAAAATTAAGGAGAAATAAGAGGGTAGGAACATTGTGGGCGTTTTGTGGGCGTGTCATCGTTCTGGGCGAATCTGCTTTTGCAATCTTGTATCACATGACTAATTCAAATCGTCATAGGCGGGAAGCAGCATTACGTCATCCCTACGCCAAATAAAACGTTATAAAACGCGTCGAAGATACGTTTGTGCCATATATGGAAGTTATGGATACGTTTGTGCCATATATGGAACTGTCATTGCATCCAGCTTATGACAACGATGTTCCTACCCTCTTATTTCTCCTTAATTTTTCTCGCTTGCTTATTAGTTTGCCAGGAGGGGCGGCAATGCCGTGCAGCATGTAGATTGGGACGAGTAAACATGGCGATGGCAGACGAAGCAGATATGGAATTTGTTTCGAATATTAAAGAACTATTTATGAAACAAAATAAGAAGTTATGAATATTCTGATCTTTTAAACATAATTATAATGCATGAGTAAGTATAATACCATTTCTAACTTTCTATTTAACAACACTACACCTGTCCTATTCCCCGTGCTAATACCGTTAACGAGATATTGAGTAATTTTAAACCAGAAACGGATATCAACTAGTGCCAGGCCTTTTCCGAGCTCCGAGATCACCTGGATCATAGATCTACATTAAAGTCAATCTCGTACCCAGAGCAATGCCTGAGCGGGGGCTAGGAAGGCATTGGCTCTGGAGAAATTGACAACCGGAACCCCTAAATTTAGGGGTTCCGGTTCTTTGTCGGCATGCAAGATTGATAAACTTTAAACCAATCACAGCACAGGAAAAATTCATTTCCCCAGAGCCAATGCCATCCTAGCCCGCGCACAGGCATTGCTCTGGGTACGAGATTGCATTAAAGTTTATAATGGCTAAAAAAATTACATAATATTACTATGATAGATAACTGCAAGTCAACTTACTGTCCATGGTATTGCATCAGTGTAAAGAAGATGGCTGGAAAATTTCGCGACGTTTCTTAACTTGTTTGTTTCCAATCTATGGATCGTATCGTACTACAACAAAAGTACAGCAAGTGTTAGTGTATTTTCTATCATGGACAGTGGCACTTCACGAAATATTGGGGGGGGGGGTTTTCAACATGTATGCCAAAGGGGTTTCGATATCCGTTTAAAGCTCTAAGTTGCGCGAATCTTTCAGAACATGGATCACTTGATGAAATGAATAAAGAGTCCCGAGTTGTACCATTTGACTGACATTAAATACATTTTCTAAGATAATCAGTTAATCATGTCCATCAGCGTTGTTGTTTAATGTGCAGTTATAACCATCATAATTGTTTAAAAATGGAATTCTACGCAAAACAAAATGCGTATGTTGTGGCATCATTGGCATGCATTGTACAGAAAAATATATTGCTTGCTATATTGCTAACTTTAGCTTAAGTTTTATTTATAATAGTCATTATTTAATATGACAATTATGTTGTATTGGTGTGATTTCACGTTTGCCACTTGCTCCTAAACACTGCTTATGAATTTTGATATTAGGTACCAGACTCTTATAGGTCTTTCAATTTTACTAATTTCATTAATGTACTTTTTAGCTGTGGTGTTTGATTCCCTTCTCTTTACTTAGATAAAAAATTACTCTAACATGCAAGTTGTCTATTCCATCAGCTAAGACCCTAGACCCTGTCACAGGCAGTGTTTCGTCAGGCAAACACTGCTGCACGTAGCAAGCTCTGCAGCGAGTAGTATAACCTATAAGGCTCAATAAACGCCCC